TTTTCTAACAGAGTGACCTTGGGCTCCGATAGGCCAAGCCCCCTCCTTGGAGCTGGGGAATACCTTCAGGGTCTCCACCTCTGTGCACCTCAGTACCCACCGGCTCCCCCTCCTCCCATTCTGGGCTCCCACACAGAGAGGTGAATCAGTCAGAGATTCGCGGTCAACCAAACGCAGGCAGCTGCGTGAAGTGACACGAGAGTCCCTGCGGTCCATCCGGGAGGACCGAGAAGATACCATCAAACTTCAACTGGGGCGGCAACCCCACCCAGATATCCACTCAAAGAAGCAGAGCTGAGGCTGTTGGCACACGCAGGGCGGGGAAGGCGCTCAGGAACTGGGTTGCCAGCCACTCACTATTTTGGGCTTCAAGTCACATTAATATGCTGCTCCACCGCCTTTTCAGGGACAGCAGAGGCGGCTCTAGGTCTCATTTTCCTGGTGCGAGGAGGATAAAGGTTTCTGCCAAAGACTGCCCGGTGGGGGGTGGGGGCTCAGTGCAGCAAACGGTAAGGCGGAGGCAGAAAGGCTTTGCTACGTGTGGACAGAAGAACAATTGGTCGGTGGCGTCTTGGGCTGTAAGGAACCACCCAAGCCGTAGTAGTCGGAGTACATCAGGTTCCAGCAGCACCAGCAGCAGCAGCAGCAGCGGGCCATTTTCTACGTTGATAGAAGGGGGCGGAAAGGAGGGGTGGACCACTTGGTGTGGATAAAGGATATGGTACAGGGAGATAGGGGAAGGAAGAGTCAGAGAGAGTAAGGGAAGAAGGATAGCAACTCTCCCCCCCGCCACCCCACCCAGTAAGAATAGGAGAACTAGGTCTGGAAAGATTCATCAAAGTCAAGGAGTGTAGATGCACACCCTGCTCAGGGAAGGCCCACTGAGCCTGAACTTCTCAGCCCTTCTGAGGGGGAGCGGGGAAGAGCATTCTCCCACTCAGCTCCCCCAAAGTAAACATCTATACTATATATTCATTAAATTTTTTAAAAATATTTTTTAAAAGGAATTTAGATGGCTAGTTCAGCCATTCTTTGGCTGAGTAACTTAAGCCTCAAATTCTGTTTTCCGCAACTGCCACCAAGCTGTTAATGCATTGTTGTTAAATGAATAGCAATGATTTTTTTTAAAGAGGTAATTAAGTAGAATTAAATATTTAATGGGATATTTTATTTCTTGCATGCCTTCTGTAATCCACAAACAAAATATAAAATCAACAATTACATAAATACTAAGCACAGAAGTGAATGACATTATGCATTCCAAACACAATAAAACCTGGTTTCTATCTTTTCAGATGGAAAGTCAAGGATGAGAAGGCCACTCTTCTTGGAAGGTGGGTGGGGCTAGGGTGATAAACTTTTAAGGTTAGAATAAAATTACCCTGTTTTTTCCTGCTAAAACCAGGAAAGGTTAGTTATGTGTTTACAATAGTGTTTCTACTTAACTCGTTTTTTACTTTAAATCTCATCCTCAATCATCATTTTCTAAAGTTCAGTTAAAATGCAATACTTACATTAGGAAGGCTGGGGAGAAAGGATAGTTAAAAAAAAATTTTTTCTGAAAAATCTGCCACAATAAATTTTTCTTCTTTCCTCGGACCTGTCCTCTCTCAGTCAGCCACGTTTTCTTCTTCCCTGTGAGCTTATATCAACTGCAGCCTGCCGGGTTTTATGTCAATCAGTACGGCTCTATATTCATAAAGGCCTCTGATCTGATTACACCCGCTTCTATCTCCTTCTCTTTCTCCCTCTCCCCTCTTTTTCTTCCTCCTCCCCCCTCCTCCCCCCAAAAATTCAACCCAGGAACCGGAGACTCCCTGCCGTGCCCGGGCAGGCGGGGGGCGACCGCCGGCTGAGGAGCCCGGCGACAGCAACGAGGGCACCCGTGGATTAGGATGTGGATTGCAGGGCAGACCTTTGTTTGGACACATTCGAGACGGGGGAGACGGGGAGGGTGTCCTCCTTCGAGATCGCGCCAGGTTTTTATAGACTCGCCTTGAAAGAGCTCGTCCTCTTTACAGGGTTAATTTATGGGGCTTTCGAGAAGTATTGGGACTTTTAAGACTCTCTTTATTTTTTTTCCCCATTAATTTTGTGGTGGTTGTTGTTACCCTCCTACAGAGACTCCCGGGTTTCAGCACCTCTCAGGAGGAGGATGAGGGTGGGACGAAAAAAGCAGGGCCTGGAGGCGGAGGGAAGGACTTGCCTCCTAATCAAGCCACCCGCCAGGCCCTGGCTACCCAAATTTGGCGGGGGGCGGGGGGGGGGCGCGGCGGAAGGAGGGGGTAGATTAAGTTTCTAACCGAGTTGTAGACTGTAAAACTCACATTTAGGAACTGGAAGGAAATTGAGACAAACGTGAGCTCTATACACCTTTCCTCAGGTCTTCGCCCATTTGAATGAGGGGAAGGAAGAGTTTGGGGTCTTAGGAATTTTTCAAAGATTAAAAACCGAGCCCTGGCGGTAGAAAGGGTTAGCGTCACAGGTGGTGGGGGGAGAGAAGCCCGTAGGCTGACCCTTGTCTCGCGGGCTCCCGCCCGGGCACCGACCTCTGGGCGCCCAGAGGTGGCTGCGGAGGGCGGAGGCCCGCGGGGCCTGGGCTGCCCGCCGACCTCGAGCTCGCCATCTTCGATCTCCAGCGGAGGAGGTTGGTGTTCATGCTATAGATTACCTAAAGATTCATTTAAGCACTTTAATACACAACTAGCTCAGAAATCATTAAGAGACCTAGAGAAGGAGAAAAATTACCCTCACACTCACCGGTAATAAGTGTTGACATGCAGCAAAAATCGATTGAGTGGAACCGAGTTGGTGGCAGTAGCAAAGGCTGGAGGGGGGACATCGTGGGAGCGGGAGGAGCGAGGGGACCGACTCCTCTGACTCAGAAACTAGGCTTTTCTCACTTGAAGGGAAGAGGTGCGGAAAGGGGTCGGCGGGCTAGCGGGGATGGTGTGAGGAGGGAGGGGGGTGAGGAGGATAGTAATTCTTGCTTCTGAAAGTCCAGAGAAAGCAGCTGAGGTGGGAGAAAGGGCCTCTCAGCAGTGCCGAGTCTCCGCCCCCAGCCCGCACCACTCAAGTCGGGGAAGTGCCAACTCTCCCCAAACCTCGACTTCCATTTTTTGTATCCTGCAGATTGATTGATTGCCTCGAAATAAAGTTCTACTTCAGCAAGCAAACTAGGCCGAGATCCACCTCCTGTACCCAGCGCTCCTAAGTCACTCTGGGACCCACAAGAGACACACATCTGTCCAGCGGGTGTCCTCAGTGCTTCCAGCCCCCATCCCCAAATCCCTTCTCCCAGTCCCCGCGGCTCCTCCCCCGCCCCCTCCCCCACACCAGGAGGAGGCTCAGGGCAGCCGGGACCGTGGGCCCCGCTGCTCCAGAAGCCAAAGTCCGCTGGTGGGGACCGTTTTCCTCTCCAGTGCTCTCAAGTGAACAACAAGGACGGAGGTGACCCTCGTCCAAAGGGCTTTTATCTGCCCCCCACTGCCGCGTGATCCCTTCACAGGTTGAAGGCAGAGCTTAAAAAGGAAAGAAAGTTAATGTGCATTGAGCGCAGGTCTTAAATCGGGGACATTATCTGTGATATCTTTAAACGGCAGTAGCAGTTCCACGCACAACAGACTCAGTGTCTGCGTTCCAAAACGTATAGGTAACAGTTCCGTCAGATAAAAGAAACCTAAGCGCAAAAACACAGGTTTTCTCTGCTCCACAAATCTGGCAGCTACTTTTCGTCCCCGGTTCCCCAGGGTGGTGTTTGTCCTCGCCCACTTGGAGGGTGCGGGGAGGCTTTGACCAGAAAAGCAAAAGACCTCAGCACTCTTTTCTCCCCCACCAGCCTTCCTAGGGCGGCGGTGATGGGTTCTTTGGGGCTAAGTCGTACTTGCTACTATTTGTTAGGAAACCAAATTCCACATTAAAAAAAGAGAGAGAGAGAGAGAGAGAGAACGTGAAAACCACCGACAAAGGAAGAGCGCCTGTTTAAAGTTCTTTCACTCACACAGATCCTCATTCCCCGTTTAGCAGTCAGAGGATGGGAGGGCCAAGGCTGTAATTCATCTTGATTTGAATCATTGTCCCGCAGTTTGCAAACTATAATCCTGTATAATTTCAGGAACAAGCAGGTTTAGAATTAATGGGTCAATATTATTTAAAACAAAACACGGGGAGCATGACCTTTGTCTCAACTACATATTGCTCGACAAGACTCAGGAAACTCCACTCTAACCTCTCAACCCCTGCGCTCTTTGAGAAACTAAGGGGCTGTAGTTATTAGAAACTGTCTTTGTTTCTTTTAATGTCTCGAAAGGATTTGGAAATAGTAATGCAATATAACATGAAGAATCTCTCTACTTAAGCCTGAAAGATAAACGTGGAGGACTAAATATTTTGAACCAGAGGTGTTTCCTTGTAAACTTATTACAGATATATTCCTCTTGAGAGGAATGTTTATAAACTGCATATGTACACATAACCACATACTTCTCCAGAACAATTTACTGGAGGTGCAGCTTCCCCACCCCTCTCCCCCAGGAGTAAATGAGTAATTCTAAGCTGGTGTACTTTCTAAATTTCTCCTTTCTTCTTTCTCTCTTATATTATTTACTAGCAAATGGAACACTCGGGGTTTCAGCCAAAGAAAGGTCTGAAAGACAAGACTAGACTTTGCAGCTCTTTTTTTCTGGGAGTGCTTTTTTTGTTTGTTTCTGATGAATGAACATAATGTATTTCTACCAAATTTAAATAAGTACTGCTGCCTTGTATCTTTAACTAGGCAGGCAGAGGGAAATGGTTTGTTTAGTAGGCAGTGACCAAGAAACCCTGGCCAGGCGACAGAAGAGGGCAGAAATAATCCAGACCAATTTGTATGCAGTATATTTTACTCCCATGAAATAAAACACGTTTTTTCATATTTGCTGAAAAGTAAAACAATAATATTGTACGAAATGTTATACACAGGGTAGGTTGTACATAGCAGTTTCAGAAACATCATTGCATCCACCAGAGAAACTATTCTAAAACTGATATTCACACATTTTTAATAATAATAATAATATGTTAGAAACATACAGTGTGGTATTTAGTATATACATTCCTTTGCTCGAAAGCGAAAAATTCTAATCGCTTCTGTATAACATGCTTTATTTTAAAGCCTAACCTTTAAAAACACTGTTTTGATATTACTAACAACTGCTTTTTATAAAATTAATTTGACATTTCGATATATATACACCCTTTCAGTCATTTTAATGTTAACAATGCTAAACTTAAAAAAAATAACAAGCTTATAGTAATGTTAAAATGTCATATCCAGTCAAACATTTGTGTGTGTCCTTGCAACTATTGGAAATACTTTTAGTGAAAGATGTCAGACATTGAGGAAATTCCTTTGAAATCAAGGGAGCTCCCCCTTCAATTCAGTGGTTTCCTTTTTCTCTATCTTCTCTTTCTGTCCCTTCCTTTAGTGCCCACGACCTTCTAGCGTAATTCCCAGTCTTTTAAGGGCAGAGTTGCCCCGTCCTGCACGGTCCCAGGATCCAGGCGCTGCGGGCGCAGCTCACACCGGCCGGTCCACAGCGTACTGGCAAGCGCTCAGGTTGGACGCCGGGTTCTGCACGCTGGCATAGCCGAAGCTGGAGTGCTGCTTTGCTTTCAGTCTCAGGCTGGCCAGGCTCGAGTTACACGTGTCCCTATAAACGTACGGAGGAGTCGGCGGCGCGTAAGGACAGGCGGGCGTGGGCACCGCGGAATTCAGCGATGGGCTGCTCAGGTTGTTCAAGTTATTCAGGCTGTTGAGGCTGGAGCCGGGGACGCCGGTCACCGCCGAGGGCACCATGCTGGACGACATGCTCATGGAGGAGATGGAGTTGGGGGGGGAGAACATGCTCTGAGAGGACAAGGGGTTGACGTTCATAGAGTTGAAGAAAGGGAAGCTCTTGGTGGACAGGGAGGCCGATGTGAGGCCCTTGGCGGCCCAGTTGTTGTACGAATAGCCCGGGTACATGTCGTCGTAGGGCTGCATGAGCCCGTTGAACTGCGGCCCGAAGCCGTTCTTGCACAGCTCAGCCTGCTGGTTGCGTTCCCGCTTTCTCCATTTGGCCCGGCGATTCTTGAACCAAACCTGAGGTGGAGGGCAGGGTGCAAACAGACGCCACAGATCGGATAAGTAAAACCTTGATTGCGGAGAGCACCTGAGGCCGCCTCCTCTCCGAGACAGACAGACACACACACACACACACACACACACACACACAGTCACCACGTTTTCCCCATCACCGCACCGCCCCGTGCCCCAAGCTGCAGGAGCTCTCGTGCAGGCACCAGTCCGGAGCTCCTAACAAACGCGGGAGGCCCGGTGGCCCAGGCCTGCAAGCCCCGGCTCTGAGTTTCGCCGCAAACCCAAGCCGAACGCCTGGCGGCCTGCCGCAGCTTGTTCTGTAACCCAGGCTCCCTCAGGGTCCAAAAACACTTACTACAAAAATAAACGTGGGTCAGCGGGCTTTCCAACCAACTCTTCCCCGGCCACCTTGCAAGCTTGTTTCCATTCCAAAGCCACAGACTCAACTGTGAGGACCAGGGACTAAGAGGGCACCAGAGCCCGCTCGCTCTCTCCCACACAGCGCCTCCCTCCTCTGTCGGATCTGCACTGCCGTCTCCCACTCCAGGGAACCTGCGCCCTCCCCTCAACATGCCAGGCTTCGACCACCTTCCTCACCAAAATAACCAAGTAAAAAGCAAAGGACCACCTCCTCGACAGTTCATTAAACTCAACGAACTTGGCGCGTAAATCTCCGAACCCAGAAAGGGTCCCTTTGCAGCCTCTCCCTCCTTCTGCTTCCCTCCTTCTCACCCTCTGTCCCTTCCAGGCCAGGTTTGTGAACCCCAGGCTCTCCTGCTGGGCCCAGTCGGGGGGCCTGGCTTTGTAGGCGGCCACCCAGCCCAGCCAGCCCCCGCCCGCGTCCGATGGCCCCGCCGCAACCCCGCTCTCAATCCACATTGGGACCGCCGGTCTCCCCAGACCGCGGCTTTTGTGTATTGGAGCAAGGCCTGGTCGGAGATTTCCGAGTTGACACCGGTGGATGTTTCACATTACACATCTCAGTCGGCCCTGCCGACTAATCCGCTTTTTTCCCTTTCATTCTCTATTTCCTTTGTATCCCCCTTCCTCTTTGCACCGGACTGCTATAAAAAGCACGCCTCACTCCCACTTGGCTGGAGCAGCCGCGGGCCTGGAAGAAGGTAGCGGGAGGGAGCGAGAGCCCAGCGTGGGCGGCGGCGGGGGACTTGGGAGGGACTGAAGAGAATCCAGAGGACTGGGGGAGGGCTTTTCCGAAGGATTCCACAGAACCCACAGATTGTGTTTTTATTTTAATTACTTGCCATTTCTACCCTGCGCTGTCTAAACTTTGCCCAGGCGAGAAGAGTACGTGAGAGGCCCGTACTCCTGCTGCACAGGAGAGCTAATGAAAGGCTGACCTTTCGTAAAACCACGCCGGCCGGCTGGAGCTCTAGCTCCATGCAGTTAAACTAAAACCACTTCCAACTTCAATCCGGCTCTTTTACCACCAGCAAAGCCTCATACCTTACACAAATGCCACCCAGAGAGTGCCTTCATTCCCTCTGCTCCGGGACTGCATTTTAGCCTTAATTCTTTTCATCATTACTGTTATGTTTTCTTCTTTCTGTTCTCTCTTGTTCTGGATGGGAGCTCTGTTTTTCTATCCAGAACATTTTTTATTTTTTCATTTAATTTTTTACAGCGAAGCCTCTGGATCCTATGAGTATTTTCTGTTTCCAGAATCTTAACAATTTTGGAGTTTTCCACGGACCAGCATAAAACAGGATATTGCTACTGGGTAACTGATTTAAGTTCATTTTTGCCAATCCATAAAGTACAGATTTGCTACAAAGGTAAGCTCTTTCTTTGATAAAACTATTACAACTGGGAAGAAGGGTGTACCAATCTCCTAAGAAAAGATAAATAAACCAAACCGAAAAGTCTTTTTCTTTTTCTTTCTAAGAAGACTGGCAGGATAGTAGTTGTGTCTTAATATGGCTTCCGGAGATCACAAAACCAGGGGGTAGGGTGTCAGAGACCTGAATGGCTGAAAACCCGCAAAGACCCTGTAAGGAGTGCGAGACAAGGAGAGAAAGGGCCGGGGCCAGGCCGGGCGCGAAAGTTTCCCAGGGAGGGCCAACCCTTTGCGTGTTTCTGGCTGGTTTTCCTAGTTAAAGGCGCACAGGTTGGAGCCTGTTCTCGGCTCCTGGCCTGGGAGGGATTTACTTAGCGCTCGTCTGGCGATTGCAAGCCGGGAACACAATACCCTGTGCAAGGGAATGCCACGCGGCCCAGTTTGGGAGGGCGCTGGGTGGCGTGGCGATGAGCGGTGTCGCTCCGGGGCCTCAGGACGGGGCCCCGGCCGCCTCGGAAGGGGGAGCTGTAACCTCGCGATTGGGCCCAGCGAGAGGCCGTCTGCCTTTGCAAAGGCACCCCACCCGCGCCCTCCCGGGCGGCGCCGCCTTCCACACTCCCTCCGGGTCTACACGGCCTGCATCTCTACAACGCCCTCCCGCCTAGCCCTTTCAGGCTCCACGCGGGCTCCTACCCGGACTCGGGCTTCCGTAAGGTTGGTCCACACTGCGATTTCTTCGCGCGTGGACATGTCCGGGTAGCGGTTCCTCTGGAAAGTTGCCTCCAGTTCCTGTAGCTGCTGGCTGGTGAAATGAGTCCGCTGCCGCCGCTGCCGCTTCTTTTTGGACGGGTCTTCGGCTCCCAAGTCCTCATTCTTTCCCTGCTGGCCCTTATCTTTCTCTGAGAATGAAACACAGAAACGTTCCCGTCAGCATGCCCGGAGGCAACCCGCGAACTCCAGCTGGACCAGGAGGCCCTGGACGGGAAGAGCGGGGCGGCCGGCGGGGAGGAGTGTGCGAGCGACCGCTAGCGTGGCGCCGAGCGCTGCGTCTGGGGGGTGCAGACGTGAGTGTGGGTGTGCGCGCCCCATCTCCTCCCCTTCCCCGGCGCCGTACGTTTTATTTACATGTTTATCTGCCTGCGACGGCGGCACATTCACTTTTTATAGCCTGTACTTTCGAGCACAATTCATACGCCTCTGCGTAGACACACCAAATCTCCCGGGACACGCACCCGAGCGCGTTGCACAGGCCCCCCTCGAAGAGAGCTCAGCTTTCCACGCGGTATCGGAAGGCTATAGGAGAGTGGACTTTGGGATTCGGTCTGGCGCCCAAGTTCCCCCGCTGTTTAAAAAGACCTCCTTTTCTTCTGAGGCATAATTTCAGAAATGCTTTGCTAACAAGCGGAGCTTTTCGGGAGCTGGAAGTCGACAGGAGAACTGAGCCCGGGTGGGAGATGGGGAGCGGCCTCCGAACGTCCTCGGATGTAGATGCTGGGATTTGTGTGACCCAAGAAACAGAAGGGAGGTCGGAGTAGGAATAGGGAGGGCGGCAGAACGGCCCTCGCTGTTCTCGCCACCCCAACGGGGCGGTGGAGGTAGAGCGAAAGCGACGGAAATTCTGCAGGCAGCAAGCTGAACGACCACTCCCACCAAGCCTTCCCCAGCAGGGGCCGACTTCCTTGGGAGCCAGAGGGGTCGAGCGACGCGGGGCGGCTGGGTGGGGGTACCTTGGGGCCGCGCGGCTCCTTACCTGCGGCCTCGGGGCTGGAGGTGTCAGAGATGGTGTGCACCTCCAGCCTGTGCTTGGAAGAGTCCAGGGCGCGGGTCTGACCAGGAGCTAGGACCGAAGCCATAGCCAGTGGCTGGGGATGGTGACAGAGGGAGGAAGAGGAGGTGGCCAACCGCTTGGTCCCTGCTGCTCGGTGCTCCAAATGCAGCGGGCCTTTCATGCAGTTCATGGACGAAGGAGCGCGCTGCCCTACGAATCCTGGGCCGCGTTGCGCTCTACGCGCGGAGGTTCCCCGCGATGTCTGCCGCGGGCAGAGTCAGGGAACACAACCCCCGCCGAGTCCTCCAGCCGCGCAGCCTCGTCTCCTTTGGAAGGCTTAAGCGACAGGTTCCAGGGGCCGAAAGTCAGCGGGCAAACGGAGCCATGAGAACGTGGGCAGGAGGGTACAGCTCCGAGCGTCTTTGGGGAGAAGGCTTGCAAGTTCCAAAGCGAAACGAGAGTGGGCAAAGACCCCTTTCTTCCCCCCTCCCTCTCCCAAGTACCCCTCCAATAAGGAAAGCTAACGCAGAGCGCGCTCTGCCCGCCCCCCCCCCCCCCCCCCCGCCGCCCCGCGCACAGCCCTGACAGCGAAGTGTCAAGAGTGACAGGGACAGGTAGCTGATATTAAATCCCGGCGGCGGCGGCGGCGACGGCGCGAGCCTCAGGTCGCACCCCTCCGCGGCGCGCACACGCACTCTCCCACGGATCGTCGAGCTAGAGCTCGGCCTCGCCTCAGCTCAGCTCTTGGCACCTGGGCCAGCGACGGACCAGCACTGCGGCTCCGCGCTTCCCTGTTGGCTTAACATCTTAAAACCAGAGGCGGGCTTCCTGGTGCGGAGACGTCACTCGGCCGCAGCCCTCCCCAACCTTCCCGCCTCCGCCTCCTCCCAGACCTTCTCGGGTCCGGAGTGACGTGGCTCCGACCCAATCAGGAAGCCCCGAGCCGCGGCGGAGGGACTGTGCTGCCTGCACCTATCAGCTCCGCGGAGCTGGGCCAATACCTCCCCAGCGCCCGCAGAGTCTACACCCGCCGGCTCCAACCGGCTAAAGACCAGCGGCTTTTTGTTCGGGCGGGGAGGTAGAAAGATGAGCTTGGGAGTAAAAAGCTTGGGAGAAAGTCGCTAGTAGGTACACGGATCAACAAGACACCCCTACCCCCCACCCCGACCCTTCCTTTTGTGTCTCACCACATCCCCTTTTCAATCCAGAGGTGTTTTTCTCCTGCATGGAAAGGAGACATGCTACTTAAAAACAGAAATATCTAAAAACGCCAACAAATCACCTCTCCCATTTAAAATTTTCCAAACAGTCTGTCAGGTGAATGCTGCGTTCATCTGGAGAAGCTTTATTTTAATTGCAAAAAGAGAGAGAGCGCCCTGAAAAGGCAGGCTAATAAATTAGAAATCGAGAAGCAAATGGACCCGTCAAAAGAAAATTACCTTGACTTTAAACGAACAACTGTTTGGTGGTTCACTCTGGATTTGTACAAGAATAAAAAGTCGCCTCAGATCACGTTCTCTGTAATGCTTATTAGTCCCCAGACAGAAAACACACAATAGAATAGAAACCCTAACCTAGCATTTTCAAAATGCTGAAAGCTTATCCATTCTACTTAACGTTGATTAAGACACATATCCTAGATCTTTCAAATTCCTTGTACACTGTATTAAGCTCGTCCTAACCCGAGAGAGAGACAAGCTTTAAATTCGACTCTCTTGTTTACTTTATTATCAATCAGATTGAAATCCATAAAGCTTGTAGAATCAACAGCCTTGAGCTAATTATATATAAAATATGCTTTAATGAGTTTCCATACAATTAAGAATGTTGCCAAATCACCAATTTCAAGGGTAATTTTTAAGTCTCCCCCCCCCCCCCCCCCGGAAGCTCAAGGCTGTCTTGAATTGTTAAAGTCCAAGCAGGCAGAGGTGGCAGAGTGTGAGTGAAGGGCAAAAGCTGAGGAGAACACTCAGCGAGGAACACTCAGCGTATTCATTGAGATAAACAAAGGAAATAAAACACCTTTGGGGATATCCAACTTTTTGCAGCATATTTCCAAAGAAATTTGATTTCCAAAGAAATTTTAAAAAGAAATACAAACATATCACTTAAAATAATTTTTGAAAGTCCTTTTGTCCTCTGGCTTACATCAGCTGGAGAACACAAAATAAACTCCCCAGGGTTCTGCATTGGAGATTGCTTTATTGTGGAGTTAGTGTTATCATCCCTGACTGTGTATTTGTTTGACATTACAGTCAATGATTTGCAACACTAGTATAAGGTATCTTCAGGAAAACTCCCTCCTTGTCCTTGGTCACAAGATTGGGAAACTTATTCAGTCTGGGGCAGAGTGGGTGAAACAGGCTACAAAAATGTTTGCGACTTATGCGTCTCTTCTTTGCCCTGTTATCACCCCAAACCCTATTGCAACTCCTCCCCCATTTTAAACATGCTTGAGGGCATTTGGAGGAATGAAATGAGAATTGTTCTTCAGTCTTTCTTCACAAATACCATCCCACTTTAAGAAGACTTTAGCTAGAAGGGGGACCTTTCTTCATAGTAAGCTTTAAGTCAGCATTTCTGATTTTAACCTTTTATTCAGTTCACCCCCATTCCAGACATACACACACACCTACTCAGAGCAGAACACATCCCCCGTGTGACGGGTCTGCATTGGCTGAGACTCATACATCCCATTATATTAGGTCCTGCAATCTTATCACTAAATTATACATATTATACTAGCAGCCTGTTGGTAAAGAAGGTTAAATTAATTTACATTCTGTTCATTATCTGGTGCTTAAATGACGCATTTTATCCCTGAGATTTGGAGGAGAATCTCCTCAGACCCCACAGCGTTTCACTGAAGACAATGCTCTCACATTTGTAGTGGGTTTTAATCTGATAAGACTTTAATTTGCTTAAGTCTTTTAAATAAGGGTTTTAGATGTTTCTAGCCATTTTCTTATTGAATTTCCTCTAATTCCCCCAAGATCATAAAGTATATGTGTAAAGTAAATATTTCCTCCCATTGTACCGCCAGCTGATGACCTATAACTAAGTCAATATGAATCCAGCTCTTTTCTGCCCAATGTGTTTACTAATCATATTCCAGTTTCTTCTTTGAAACCTCAGCATAGCTGTCATCCCCACAGTATCACGTCCCCAAAGCCTCATTTCACAAAGAAACTCCATTACATTAAAGAATGAAAGATTCTCCGTCATAGTGAGCATTCAGTTTTTGGTGCAAACTTAGGGTGATTTTCAATACTCCCTACTTGGGAGAGCTGAGAGGCTCCACAGAGCCATATAGATTTCTAAGCACATCTCTCATTAAACTTGCAGAATTTTGATTTAAGCTGAGTTGGCTCTGCTTGACTAATAGAACTTTCATCAGGACAAATACACACTGTGAAGGACCTAAACCACCCTCCAAAGTCGATGAAAAACCGAAGGGCAAGTGACAGCATCTCCTAGTTGCAAAGTGTGGGAGATGTTGGAAGTGCTGGTGATCTTCAGGCAGTCTAAAAGCCTACATTTCCAAGAAATCTTAAATTGTGTCGACCCATTGTAAAGTCAAGTGGAACACTCTTGTTAGAGTAAAAGCACAACTGTATATATGCATGCCTATCAATCTATAGACATATGCATAAATAATACATTACACACACTCCTAACCCCAGCTCTCTAAGCAACTGAGCCTGTGGGGCATTTCTTCACATTTTTTTTTTTTTCAGCCAGAGTTTCAACTCTCTCTCAATCTATTAATCATTTCACAGACTCTGAGTTGGGGTGACACACTTCCCAGGCCTAAGAACATTCACTCCGTGGGTGACAGGAGTACAACATGAACATTTTAGATGGGAAAAAGGAAGTGTGTAGTAGGGAACCAGAAAAACACTTTTCAATGAAAATTGTGGTAGTGGTGGGCTATTTTGGAGAATTAATTTACAAAAACCTCATGGGTGGGTTCACAGGTATAGGCAATATAAATAAGGAAGAAGTTGGAATGAAAGAAATCACATATTTTGCTTCATCGCTACTGTTTCCTTCCCTCTTCCCTTTCTTTAACTGGTTCTAGAAATTATTGATAGTATGATTTCAGCTTTCCTCACAGACTTTCAGTCAAGG